AGTTTCAGATTTTCGCATTGCTATGGACACTGCCTTATCTATGCAATCTAGCGTTTGGAAAATTTGTTCAAAAGCATACAAATATCGGAGAACCAATAATAATGTAACATGTGTGAGCTCTACCAAAACTTTTATGAAAGCAACAGAAAAGCAAAATTACACGTCCAAAAAAGTATGTCTTTCTTAAGTCTCTGCTACTGCAGAAGGTGTGCCTGTGAGATGATAGAAGATCTACACCCACATCTCACACTCAACTGAAATACGTATGGTTAAAACATATTATGCCGCGTACAAGTACTCTACTGAGAGACATTTATTGTCAAATTCAATTTATGCAACTTTCAAAGATTCTTTCTATTAATTTACGAAACTCTCAGACATTTTACTCAGCCAAATAGAATCTGCTGAAAGAATACGATAGAGATAGGAAAGTATCAAAGATCTCTTGGAAAATAATTTATCGAGATTCACAGTTTAGATGTGATTTGAAAAGAGCTTGTATTAGAAGATTTTGAACGTCTAAACCAAAGAAAAACAAGTCTTTTGTATTTACTACGAGAGGGTGTGAGTGTGGGGTGTGGGGTGTGGAGTGTGGGTGTGGGCGTGGGTGTGGGTGTGGGTGGATGTGAGAGGTATGGGTGTGGATGCGGGTATGAGAGGTATGGGTGTGGGCGCGGGTGTGAGAGGGTGCGGGTGTGGGTGTGGGTGGATGTGAGTGTGAGGTATGTGTGGAGTGTGTGTGGAGTGTGTGTGGGGTGTGGCTGGGTTTGAGTGTGGTAGTTGATGTGTGGGTGGGGTGTGCGTGTGGGGATGGGTGTGGGTGTGACTGTGGTTCTGCGTGTAAGTGTGGGAGGGCTGTGAGTTTCGTGTTTTCCATACCCACACCCACACCCACACCCACACCCACACCCACACCCACACCCACACCCTCTCATACAAAATTAGAAATTATTTCATTAGTTTTTCTTAAATCATTCAAATTCATCTCAGTTTATTAAAATTTCCCTATTCTATTCAAAAAGTAAAAGTTTTCGGTTTATTTTTCTCAAACATATAATAAATTTATTCAATTTCCATAAACTTATTCAAAATCTATCATTTTTCTATAAATTCATTAAAATTTCATTCAATTTCTCTCAAATTCAATAAAATTTATCCAATTTTTCTAAAGTATTATTCTACTAAATCAGTTTCCTTCAATTCAATAAAATTTATTGGTTTTATCCAAAAATTTACTTATATTTAATCATATTTTCTTAAATTTTCATAAGGGTGTGGGTATGAGTGTTGATATGCGCATAAGTCAACTCTAATGACAATCATACTCACACCCACACCCACACTCACACCCACACCCACACCCACATTCACTCACACCCATTTCCCACACGCACACCCAAACCCACATTCACCCACACCCTCGGAAGATCGAATTGGCTCTTCCGGAGTTAACGAGTATTACGCCACATATTACGTGTTTATCTTCTTGACAGTAGACTATCGCCCTTCCGTAAAAGAAAACCTAAATGCAGTTGAAAACAAGTTACAACACATAAGCCAACATTACATTGAACACACACTTATCTTATCTTAGTATTTCATACTATAAGTAGAAGCAAGCAGAAAGAAAAAAGAATTTACACGTATAACATCATCTAACATACTTCTATAGAGACAGAATCATTTCTTTCAAGGATTTTAAATTTTTCCGTAAAAGGCAGTTCTGTTATATTTATTATATACAGTACTGGTCAAAAGCCCTGGACCTGGACGAAAACTATCTAAATAAGGGTTATTTGCTTTGAAACATGTACTAAAGCAAGGACTTGGTGAGTCCTGATCTTAGGCAAAAAGTCCAGTCCTATCCTCTTACTGAGACTATCAGGTCAACATCAAGAGTTTTTTTCTTATTGTGATATCCCGAGCTAGAAAAAAAGATGCAATGCCGCTATATCCATCACCGAAAGCTTCGGCTCTTAGTCTTCTTCAATAAAGTTTTCGTTAAGTTGTGACCTATATATTGCTTACACACGGAACTGACATATTGTAATCCTACCAGTATTCGATCCAAATTTCGAGTTAGGCTCAGCCGTTCAGCCTGAAGATTTTATTGTAGATTGCATAAATATGAGCAAACCTATGCTAAAACTTTCAGCATTATAGCCTTTAGAGAGATGGAGATACATATCGTTCTATACCTCTGGACCGACAGCTGTGGAAAATCACTAGGGTACGGCAAATCTGAGTGACCTTTCTGACATAGGCAGACCGCCATCAGAACTACCTATTGCACTAAAAATATTACCTTCACTTCAGCAAATCGAAAAGTACCAGTATTTCCTCCAAATATTACATAATTCATCAAAAATATTAAGAGAAAAATTCTTAGTGATGACCTGATATCTCATCCTCAGCAAGAGGACAGGGCGCGAGCTTTTGTATAAGATCAATACTCACCAAGTCCTTGCTTTGGTACAAGCTTCCAAGCAAACAACCCTTATTTAGATAGTTTTCGCCTAGGTTCGGTACTTGTGGGTGAGAACGTGAGGGTAAGGATCTTCATTCTCATCTTCACACCCTCACCCGCACCCTCACATGGCTCATTGGAAAACTATTTGATCATTTTTCTACGTTTTATTGAAATTGAACATACTAGTATAATCTTTCTAATGAAGGAATATGTTCTCATTTTCGTTCAGAAACAAAATGATTATTTCAATTCTTGATTAATTTTTAAATTTGAGTTTTTTTCTGAAAAATATCATTTGGTTCATTTGAGTGAGTCAAAGAGTGTGATGAAGAATCGCATATTCGATTCGATGTTTAAGTTTCGTGAGAAAATACATGATTATTGTTGTTTCATATATCTACCATTTACAAAATGTTTGATGTTGTTGAAATAGTTTCTGAAAGTTGAACCCAATTGAATAATCGGAGGGTCATCCGATTGTGTCATTGTTTGATCTTGATGGAGTCTACTTTCGCCTATGCTGATAGTCAAAGAATATAATGCATTTTAATTATGAAAATCGAATGCAATGGACAAAATGCGTCATTCATTGAAGAAAGTGTGGAGAAGATTGTCGACGATCGAATGATAAGAGTCGATCTATTGAAGCTAGATTTCTGAATCATGTTATACATCCTCAAGACTTCTAAGATTCAGCCAGCCAGACATTTATGTGAGATCAGTTAATCGGACTGGTACGGTTTCAACTCTAGACATCCTTCGATGTTCTCCATCGATTGATAAAATCTCTGACTTACGCCTAGTTGCATTTCCAAATTATTTAAATAAATAACGAAGCATATTAGATTTGTAAATGTTCAGCTTTATTGTTTAAGCAAACATTTCAAAAAAATTAATTTTAAACGTCAAGATATGAAGAAGAACTCTTTTTTTATTTAAATATATGTAGTAGGAATGATTTTTATTACGCAAGTACATGTGTCTTGAGCATGATTCTTCTTGTTTTTGAACGTTTTCAGAGCACACATTTTTTTTCTTTGCAATCATATCCATCTCGTTTTTCACATCCGAAAACAAAAATTGAGAATCCAGAATATAACCAATCATATCCACCACTGTTTGCTGTAAGTCCGTATATGCAACAACCGTAATCAACAAAAGACACGTTGACTTGTTGTGGTACTTGCCAATTCTTTTCATCGAAAACAATTCTATTGAATTTAGCACATCGCGTACCATTGTAAATCCCTGATGGTTGTACTTTAAACTCAACTTTGACTTGCCCACCAAGTGACTGAACTGGTGGTGTTTGCATTTTTAATGTAAAATGATCTTGATCATGTGGAGTTACCACAAAATTATTCTGGGGTTCTACAGTATAACCTAAAAACAATAAAAATATAACAACACAAGTGACGCTAAACAAGTAGCCGACAATGGAGGTGTTTGTGTTATCGGTTAATAAGATTAGACATAATCGGATCAAATTAAAGATTTCATCGCCAAACTAACAAATTTAAAATATTAGCTGCCATTGG